AGGACTTCTTCATGGCCTCCTCTCTCCCTGCCTCCTTCAGTCTTCACTGCACAGGACCGTCACCCTCGACAAAGCATGCTCCTCACTAGGCACTGCTCACTGAGGCACTTGCTGTCTGTCAGGAGCAGCACCTGGCCTCAGCAAACCCTCTGGAAGCGAGGAGCGGGTAAGTTCAACTTCTTAAAAAAGAAAAGAACAGAACTGCTTTTGTCTTCATGATCCCTGCAGCCCCTGATGTGCGCTGCGCCCGGCGAGGCTCCGACTCTCTTATCTCTCACCTTCTACGTGCTCTTTCTAATCTTCCAACCATGAAAGATTTCCTGCATGGTGGTACAGCCAACAGTATCCCGCCAGTACCCGCCACTCAGTCCACTGACTGTCCTGCAGCTCGGGACCCTCCCAGAGTAGCTCTGCCTTTCTCTACGCTCCTGTGTAAGAAGACAGCCACACAAGTCAGGGGACCAGAAGTGGCTCCTGGGAGTGCACAAAGACCCTTCCACAGACCTTGACAGTCACCGGGACAGTCAGACTCCAGAGCTGCTGGGAACTAAAGCCCACAGAGTCATGGAGTGAGAGTCTGCTCAGACCTACTTGGTGACAGATCTGTGACTTGCAGAGACTTCAGGATCAGAGCTGTCCTGTAAACACGCAAACATCAGCATCCCGAGGTGGATGTCTGGCCAGCTCACGGCATCACACGTCCCTTGAAAGCTGACGGCCTGACTGACACGCTGGCCTTCCACCCCAGAACTACTACCTTGTTCTGGTCCTGCCTGCCTCTTGCTCACTGGTTGTACCACAATTGTCAGGGGTTCACCTCGGCCTCTTCCCTTTTCTTTATGGCTTTAAGACTGAGTCTTACTATGCAGTCGACTGGTCTTGAACCTACACAGTCTTCCTGCCTATTGCAGATCTGCACCACCATGCCTTGGATCTCTATGGACAACTTCCTGCCCTTTACTTGAAAATTGTGACATTACTGCCTAAGCAGCTCAACTACTAAAACTACACGTTAAGAAATACCCACAGGGGGGCTAGAGAGATGGCTTAGTGGTTAAGAGCATTGATGCTCTTCCAGAGGACCTGGGTTCAATTCCTAGCACCCACATGGCAGCTCACAACTGTCTGTAACTCCAGTTCCAAAGGATCTGACACCCTCACATAAGTACATAAGTGCAGGGCAAACACCAATGCACATGAAATTAAAAATAAATTTAAAAAAAAGAAAAAAAATACCCATGCTATAACATATATTTCTCTGACCAAAGACTGCCTGACGCTGCTGGGGTTGGAGGTGGAGAGGGGGCAGGGGTGAGGTTGGTGTGGCCATGAAGGGTACAAGAGATCCCTGAGGTGAGCAGGCTGTATGTTGACAGTGGCAGTGAGCACACAGATCTACCCCTACAGTAAGACGGAACAGAACTGAAAACGCAGATGGGAGGAGCATGGGAAACCAGTGCACCCCAAGCAGGCGCCACAGTGGACCGACACCAATGTGCTTGATGCTGTTTCCACTGGGCACATGAGCTATCAGCACAGGAGAAGCCGGCAGAAAGACACACAGCACCTGCCTGCCTGCATGCCTGTCTGCAGCTTCCTGTGGAGTCAGTCACTTTCAAATGTTTAAAAAGAATGTTGGAAGGGGCTGGAAAGGTGGCTCAGCAGTTGGGAGCACTTGTGGATCTTGCAGAGGACCTGGTCTCAGTTCCCAGTGCCCACACGGTGGCTCACAGCCATCCGTGGCTCCAATTCTAGGGGGCCTGCTGCCCTCTGACCTCTACAGGTGCGAGGTGCAAGCGGTACATGTGAAAGCATGCAGTCAGGACACTCACACACACAATACGTCAATCTAGGAAACTGAAGAGAATGCTGGAATTGGACCTGGTGGCTCATGCCTATAATACCAGAACCGAGGAGGCTGAAACAAGACTGGAGGCCTGAGACAGACTAGACTACACAGCAAGGGCCTATCAAAACCAACCACAGAAAGTTGGTAAATACCAAGAACCAACCCTCTTCAGAATTATTCATGTTGCTATACAACAGCACTTAATTTTCTCACAGAAACCAAACAATTTTGTAATTCTGAAATTGGCAATCTTCTCAACATGCATGGTAAAATATTACCCTTTAAAATGCTAGCAGTCCCATGGGCATGGAAAAGATGGACACAAAATCGTAAACAGCAAAATGCTAGTGTTGCAGATTGGAAACGTGCTTCCTAAAAGTCCTGTTGTTTTCATGACATTCTGAATGAAGAAGCCGTCCCAGCAGAGACACACGATCTGCACAGTGCCCAGAGGTAAGCTGCTGGCAAGGGTGGAGGGCACACCAGTACACCAGCTGAGGGGAAGCACTTTGGGACTTGGGGGCCTCAGCAGAGCGGTGGCAAATGACATCTGAGGTGTCCTTTGTCACGCTCCCTTGCTGCCAGTCAGAGAGCAGCTTGGCATAAAGACCTAAGCAACAGGTTTCTCCAAGAGCACAAAACTAGCTCAGGATGCCGATTCCACACAACTGGCCCCACTTCACGGAAGTCCCAACATGCCTAGATTATGAGAGAGAAAGAGCGGGAGCGAGAGACAGAGCAGAGGGAGCCCATAAAGCGGTAGGACCCCATTCAATAGGAGGACTTTCTCTCTGCAAACACACACACACCACAGAGCAAATGAAAACCCTGTTTATATTTATTACTTTGTAGTTTATTTTAACGATGACAGAAATCAAGCCAATCCTACTGACTACTGGCCATCCATTGCTGTCTGCATGTAAAGACTCTGAAAGCCCAGCTTCTCCATCACAGCCAACTCCATCACTGTGCACTGAAGGGACTCTGCTTAAAAGTTTCCACACTTACAATGTGTTCTCAAAAATTGGTTGTGCGCACGCGCACACGCACACATGCCAACTGAACACACACGGGAGAGTTCCAGTGAGAACTAGTGTGCTGCAAATTAAATGTTCACACCTGCAAAATAATCGCCCAGCAGCGCCAATCTCTCCCAAGTGCAGCTCCACTGTACCAAAGGGGTCTGCTTCTGCCTAACCCTATCATGCCCGGCCTGGTGGGCAGCATACTTGAAGGCCACATGGCTCTCCACAAAATGGCAGAGCAGTGTTCCTTCCACAGCAGTCCACTCCCAAGAAAGTAGCTGAGAGCACGGTGCCGACTGTGCAGGGCAGAGCTGGCTAACGAGGTTCCAAGACTCCGCCCTGGCATCAGGCTGATAGAACTCTGCCCTCAGCCTCCATTCCTGGGAGCAGAGCCAAGGTGTGAGCTAGAAAACAATAAACCAAATTTCCTGGGGTCGGGTGGGGGGGGGGTGACAACACAGGTACTCGTCATGCAGCTGACGCCGAGCGCTGTTTACACTGGGCAGGGGTTTCGCTCATCTCAGCGTTTGCTATGGACACCAGCATCAGGAACACGGGCTGGAGTCTCCACCTAGGCGACGCTGCTGCGATCCCATACCAAAGGCGCTCAGCAGCTCCAAGTCACTGACGAAGCAGATACTTCAGAAAACGGCCCAGCACCAGGGCTGCCCCAGCTGATCTGTGCAGTTCTTACTGTGAACACGGATGGTGGATGCTGAACTGTGCCAAGTGCTTTTCTGTATCCACTGAGACGACGGCATGACTTCTCACTTTCAGACTGGTCATGCTGACCACAGTTATAGATTTCCATTGAATTGCTTTTTATTCTTACAGTGATGGGTTTAAATCCAGGCCTCACATGCTAACCAAGCACCTACCACAGAGTTATTACATCATTAGCCAAACTCAGGTTTGGTATGCTTTGTTTTTCTGGTGGTGGCACTAGGGGTCAAACTCATGGCCACGAGTACTCACTCAGTTTTAATAGACATACAATTTTTGACAACTGAAAAAAATAAAGCTAAAAGGAGAAAACGTAACTTAATCACATGTTTTTCCCAAAAGGATGAGAACGATTTGAAGGGTATAAACCCTGGCCTCCCTAGAGCACACCTGGTCAGAAATACAGATCACAGGCCCACCCCATACCTCCCCGGTGTCTTGTTGAGAAGAGCTATCCCCAAGCTGACAACCATCACCATCACCAGGGCAGCTGCGAGCCCGTGCAGGAGCCTGACTCAGCCTGCTGACCTCCCTCAGAGACAGTGGGGTGGAGATGGTCACTGGACTCACCGGGGCCCACTGCTCCCGTGCACCTCCGGGCCATGCAGATGCAATTCTGCCCTAACCGGGAGTCTCCAGGGAGGTTAACTGAAGAGGGGACTCCCTCTGTGCAGCTGGGGTGAGGCTGTCTGGGTGTGGCTGCTTTGCGGTCATCTACATTCCTATAGGTTTACCTTCACCTATGCTCTGTAAGGATGTCCAACGGACTTTTTGGTTCCCCAGGTAACACTCGGACGGAACTGTTTGTCATTAGTGCCCTATATATGTGGGGAGATACTTGTTTATGTTTCCCCAGGGAAAGCATTCCCACAACACCCCTGCATGCAACCAAGGCCTGGCCCACGCTGTGCTCCACAGGCAGGTACTCCCGAGTCGGCATGACTGGGCAATGCTCCTGTGTAATCCCCTCAAAGTGTCTCTCTTCTCACTCGCTTCAGGAGCGCGAGTCTCTATTTAGACTATCCGTCTAAAACATGACTTCACCGATCTGTCCCTGGGCTGACCCTTAGCTGCCACCCTAATGACTAGTCTGATTTAAGGGCTCCGTCTCTGTACTAGCACGCGTGATGTATTAACACAGGCTAGCTCGCCGCAGGCAGGGCCGAGGATTTCAGTCATAACTCAGACTGTGACCGTGCAGCACACAGTCACAGAGGATGTGCATCGAGAGGGAATGTGGAGAAAGACCCTCAAGTTCAAGGCGGTCGGCCTGCCTTCGAGAAGGCTGCTATGCAACTCATCACTTCTGTCAACTGTGGAATTCTACAGAGCCAACTGTTCCAGGGGCTCCCCACCCTTGCTCAGAGCTGGGGACCCTTGGACAGGTGTGAGCAAATGCTTACCTGAGCACAGCGACCCAGTTCTCTTCTGTTCAGATACTGAAATATATTGATTGCCAGTTCATAAGGCAGCTGGACGTCAAAGAAGGGCACCTCCTCCATCTCATTCTGTGGAGAGAAGGAAAAAGCTGAGGGTGAGGCCGACAGCAGCTTGCACTGCCAGGCTTTCCAACACTGGACACTCTCGCAGACGACCAGAGCGGGGCCCCTTCAGGGAGAACGTGAAACAGTGGGGTCTCTCCACATCTACCCTCCTTTCAGTCACTATGAACGCACTGTGACTATTTCCCATGATGCTCCAGAAGGAGAAGCACAGGTGCTACAGGAAGGGATGCACAGGTGTGTCAGAAACCTTCTGACAGAATTCTAAGAGAAGCTGAGGCGGCCGGTGCCCAAGAAAGCCTGCCTGGGCCGGGGAGGCCACCATTCCCCAAGGCCAAGCAAGCCTCCCCATCGCATGGGCGCGGTGGCCCCAGATGGAGAAGTGCTGACCAGGTCACTAACATGTTTTCATGGGCAAAGAGCAGGGAGGGGGCTGCTCTGGGAGCCAGGCCCACCTCTCCTCAGGGTTCCCTAAAGCTCTGGGGGTTCGTGCTGGTTAACCTGAGCGAGCCAGTACAAACATAGCGTTCTCAGTGTTGTTTATTAATGCGCAGCAACAAGAGCTAGCCCGCCCTGGGGCAAGCAATCGGAGATGAGGTAACGGGCTTAGGCTGAAAGATAAGGTCATGCGGATCCCAGCGCACAAAGGAATCCAAGGGAGACCGGGGAAGGCCAAGTGTGAAATGGACGCCCCAGGTCCACCGGTCCACCTGCCAGCCATGGCTATGGCCGAGCTTCTCAGCTGCAGAGTGTGCTCTTGGTCCCAACAGACTAAGCTTGGGAAACTCATGTTTAATAAGCTCTGGCTGACACACTGACATACTGGCTGAAAGCAAGCTGCTAATTCACCGCTCACTGCGAGTTTCCACACTACGAGGTGGCCACTTGAGAAAACAGCCTCCAGTGTACTAAGGAGGGGGAGCACCAAGCAGACCCTTCCCAGACTGAGACTGAACAACTGTCAAGAATCATGTTACTATTCATCTCGGAGTCTCAGGACTGAGGGAGAATCTGGAGCCTTGGAGGAAACACAGGGTTGGACTGCAAAAACAGAGCGAGGCTAAGCACACAAGCCAGAAAGGCTCTCTGGGGAAAGGGCACTGACCGGTCTCTGTGGGCAAAGGAGGGACAGAATGTTCAGTCAGGGGAAGGATGCTGGCCACGCAGAAAAACAGGAAAACGTCTGCAAGGGTAATTGGAAGGCGCTGGTCCCTGCCTAAGAAAACAAAGGAAAGGCATGGGGACTCAAGTCAGGCAAGGTCCTTGCCTACAATGACACCTTCACTCATCAATGAAGAGCACTACTGCCAACCAGACTCAACCAGAGACACCCCAACCCCCTGCAGGTCACTGCTGGTCCGGGACCTGGCAGGCACACACAAGGTGAGGGGCTATCACTCACAATGCCACCCCCACACACACACCATGCCCTCCGCCTTTTCTTCTACATTATTTTGTCTGCAGGAGCAGAGAGGACTAACTTTGCCCACATGAGAAAAAGGTCCCTTTATGCTCACATAACCAGAGCTATGGCACGGTGAGGCTGGGCAAGACAGAGCGAGCCAGGCTGAGGCACTCTTCGAGCCATGGGCTCGTTTACGGTAGGCCGCACTATAAACTAGTCTTGAGATGAACATGAGATGCCATCTTTGCTTTTATTCTGGGCAGAAGCCACAGCCTCCCAGGCTCAACAAGGAACACAGTCCCTCTGTGAAAGCATGACCCCACCTCCCCCAACCCTCCCTGATCCGAGTTTGGGAAGAACACTGCCTGGAAGCACAAAGATTCCAAACGATCAGGCAAAAGGCACCTAAGCTTCCTGTCTAACACACTCATGGTGACTGACCAAGGAACACATGAAGACATTTCCCATAGAGGCCAATGCAAGCCCTGCTGCTAGGCATGCAGAGGCTGGATGCCACTTTCCTGGAGGGCATGCCAGCTGCCTTTCATTTTCTCAAGTCACTCTTGCTTCCTGTTGGTGGCTCGTTGCCTTGTAACGTGTCTCACTATAAACAGAGACATCACCAGTAACGAGAGGCCTACAGAGTGAGGCTACATCCCAACAGGAGGATCCAAACACACAACACACAGAAGAGCAGCACCAGCTCGAGAGGGCACCTAACAACTCAGGAAGGCTTTGTCGTGGTGCCTGGGGAGCAAAGACGAAGCCCAGCAGGCTGCAGGACCAGCAGTGCTGAGCAGGCCACTGCCCCAACAGTCAGTCAGACACTGCTGGGCTGTCTGGAAGATCTGGAGGATGACCACTGTTCCAAAGATAAACCGTAAGAACAGAAACAACACCGCAGAGCCAACCTTCTCTTTTAAATCACCATTCTTAGGAGTACTTCAAACTCCGAAATGTCAATCAACAATGTCAACTCCAAACAGTCTGAGTCCTCTCCCCCACTTCCATGTGGCTGGGCTTCCTGTTCCCATCACTAACAGTTAAAGAATGGTAGGAGGGACAAGGAGGTCAGTCACCAAAGGAGTACCAGTAGCTACGGCACAGGCACGGCCACGGTCAGGAGACCACACCTAAACGTTCCTGCTGCGGTCTGTAGTGATGGGGCAGTGGGTCACTCAGATCCCCCAGACAGAGAGGGCTGCCTGCCACTGGTTCACAGCTGAGCACCCTCCTAGATGCTGCCTTTGGCCAGAGGGGCTGCCTCACCAAAGCGCCATCCCCTCCACAGAGTAGTCTGCATTGAGCATGGGCCTCTGGCCTCAGTTCTCACCTCTGAATGGCCAGTCCACTAAACCCACGTGTGAATCTACACCTCAGAGTTGCATCCATTAAGTCCAGCCTTCTCCCAAACAACCACTGAGGCCATGTGCACAAGGGTTCTAAGTGCACAGGTGCAGAGAGGCTGGTGTAGAAACCTCCTTCCGACATCCACTGAGGTGGTACAGAGCACGCAGGTGAAGAGGGAGTGTTATTCTACCAGCCAATCAGAGGAAACAGTGTTCCAAGTGTCTGGCCCAGCTTGTTGTGTTAGTAGCTTACCACTTGGGAAACACCTCACCAGGGACTACTTCATGAGCTTGGTCAACCCTGTGATGGACCTAAGCTACACCTGACCACACTCTGACCCATGCTGCAGCCCAGCAACCACTCCTAGCTCACGGCCGCTGCAGAGGTCTCCTGTGACGACATGCAGCCATTCCTTCCATGGTGAACAGTGAGTGTACAAATGCTACTTGTGATCATGTGCAGAGAAAGCCCTCATCCTATCAAGATGCGTCAGGCTGCCACCTAGACACCTGGAGCACACAGCCAGCCCAACAGTTGTGAGCCACACCAGGATGACCCCATGACAAAAGAGACACCATGGATGCTCTGAGGAAGCAGCAGCAGCACACTTGGTAGCCCAGGCTGGCCTCGAACTCACAGAGATCCGCCTGGCTCTGCCTCCCGAGTGCTGGGATTAAAGGCGTGCGCCATGGCCGGGCGGTGGTGGCGCACGCCTTTAATCCCAGCACTCGGGAGGCAGAGCCAGGCGGATCTCTGTGAGTTCGAGGCCAGCCTGGGCTACCAAGTGAGTCCCAGGAAAGGCGCAAAACTACACAGAGAAACCCTGTCTCGAAAAACCAAAAAAAAAAAAAAAAAAAAAAAAAAAAAAAAAAAAAAAAGGAATGTTCAAGTGACACTGCAAGAGCATCAGTTGACCGACGGTGACATCACAGCTCGCCAGGCTCAGACTCTAGACTCCTCCTCCCAGTCAAGGGAGGAATCGCACAAAGGGGTTGTGTTACGCTAAGGTCAGTGAATACTGGATTTTCCCAAAGTCTACTGGACTCACTCCAAAAACACCGAAAGAAACTGTGAAGGGCTCTGTCCCCAGAGAGGCTGATTGTCCCCAATGGGCTACTATAAGCCTGACTCCATAAACGGATGCTCTTTATGCCGTCGTGTGAGAAACTTAATCTGCCTACCCTTGTTTAGCAGAAGGGGTAATCACTACGAGCCAAACCAGTGCAGAGGGGAGAAACCAACTCCGGGATGCACTCCCAACTGTTATCTCTGCGGCGACCGCCACTCAGACGCTCTCAAGATGGTGTTTATACCCATCTTCTACTGACCCTGGGATGGAGAAGCCTGCTGCTGTCTGCTGGGCTTATCTCAGCCCACATACCATCCAGTCCCACACAAGACCTGGTGGCATCCAGTTTCACTTGGGGCTTGAGAAAATTAGCTGGTAGATGAGGAAAGTCTGAAACACTCTCAAAACAGGCACCAATTCTGTCTTGAAATACCTTCCTGGCACAAACAAACAGGAATGTCAATGCACACCACGGATTTCTTCTCAAGTTCCTAGATATCTATACAGGAGGCACACCATCCAGCTTCAAAATAATTGATGTGCAAAACACTGTCTGAATTCAGGGCCAGGCCCAGTGCTGGGGGAGGGGAGGTGCTATTAGCAAATGTATGAGAAATGGCCTCTACATTGAAGGAGCTGAATCTTTTATGGAGCTAAGTCATCGCATATAAGACAGAATAAATACAGGAGATAGTCCCCCAAGGCATGCCCAGGCTCATTAGTAAGTCAGCTATTTAGAACTTAGGAATCCTTTCTCTTAAAAAACAACAATGCAATAAAGAGAGGTTAAGTTCCTAAGCAGTCCACAGAAAGCCAATTTATCTTTTCATAGCGACCCTAACCCGGAGGCCAGCAGGATTCAGTAAAGATGTGCACTGCCTGCACAGACAGCTGCCACCTACAGAAGCTACCCTGCCCGCTGGCCGCCTCACACGTGAGGCAGGTGAGGACCTGGTAAAGACAATGAGATTTAGTTATTTAGGACTGTTTTCAAAACTGTGAGGTACATTCCCATTCATCACCTCCTGGCCATTTCCCTGGGGGCTCCAGCAAAGAAGAGAGGTAGAAAAGGCAGCTATGGACTCGGAGACTCCCCGGAGGGAGGCTTCGTGTGGCAGTGAAGGAAGGCTGTGCAACAAAAGGCCAGCCTCTGCTTCCAAAACCTGGGTGAGTTCAAGTGGG